CAATTGACACAAACCTGCTGAAATTTTGGTCTGTGGAGGACTTGCCGCCCAAGGCTAAAGTCCATACTCCTGAGCAACAACTCAGTCAACAACACTTCGAGAAAAATACTCAAAGATTGTCGTCCGGTAGATTTTCGGTTCATTTGCCGTTTAAATCTTACCCAAATACTCTTGGTTCGTCATACGAACTTGCGAAACGTAGATTTTGGTCGCTAGAAAGGAAATTGTCAAAGGACCCTTCGCTGAAGAAAATTTATATTGAATTCATGGAGGAATATATTTCACTGGGCCACATGTCCTCCACCAATGACAAAATTCCGAATACCCCGCACTATTTCATTCCGCACCAATGCGTTCTACGGCCACAAAGTACTTCAACTAAGTTGAGAGTAGTTTTGGATGCATCGAGTCGCACTTCTACGCAGGTAGCGTTGAATGACATCTTAGATTGCATAAGTTTGCCCTTGCGGCCGACGTCAAAAAGATGTATCGCCAAGTGATGGTGGACGAAGCTGACCGAAATTTCCAGCTCATAGTATGGAGACGAGATCCTTCTGAGTCCCTGAAAATCTTTAAGTTTAACACTGTTACATATGGATCTTCGCCAGCACCCTTTTTGGCGATTCGGTGTTTAATGCGGCTAGGAGAGATGGCCCAAACAACTCATCCAAAATCCGCAAAGGTTATTCAGAATGATTTTTATGTTGACCATTTGTTGACTGGCGCCGAATGCGTTGAGGACCTGCAAAGTCTTCGAGACGAAGTTTCTCAGGTCTTGCAAGAGGCAGGCTTTGAATTGGCAAAGTGGTTTTCAAACTGCCCAGAGTTATCCGCATCTGATAGCGCTGTAATGCCACTTATGGCAGACTCAGACGTAACCAAGACCCTTGGCGTGGTTTGGTTACCGGTTAAAGATTACTTTCAATTTCGGTTGGATGACTCTTTCCTGGATCTTCGCGCGACTAAACGAAATATTTTGTCGGTGACTGCTCGACTTTTCGACCCACTTGGCCTCTTGTGTCCTTTGGTCACAAAGGCAAAGATGTTGTTGCAAGAACGTTGGCTTCGAAAATTAGATTGGGACGAGTCGCTACCGATGCAGTTGCTCACGTCGTGGGAGACGCTTATAGCGACTCTTCTGCAGCTGCCTTAAATTAAGGTATCGCGATTCGTCAACACAGATCCACAAGTCCCGTTTCAAATACATGGTCTTTATTGACCGCCAAATCGAAAGTAGCTACCCTCAAGACGAAAACTAAACTGCCGGCTGATGTAATGTCGATGGAGCTACGCAAATTGGCAATAGCTCGCGTAGTCAGCCCAGAGCCAAATTATGTGCTTCTGAAAATAGAGTCCTTTTCGTCGCACCTGAAGCTTATGAGAGTTTTCGTGTGGGTTTTTCGTTTTATTCAAAGGTGCAGAAAGGTGTCGAAGCCCTTTGAAAAAAGTATTTCGCCAAGAGAACTGGATTTCGCTTTTGATAAAATTGTCGAAGTTATCTAATTTCCCGAATTCAGGGACGACATAAGTAAAATTCGGAAAAATAAGCCGGTAGCAAGGAATATTCAAAAGTTAAACCCTTTTCTTCAGGAAAATAAATTACATTGGTGCTCCTCGACATTGCTACGAGTTGGGGGTCGGTTATTGAACGCTCCTATGCCGTACGAAGCCAAATCCCGTTGTTGCTGTCTAAAAGCTCACAGTTCGTCAGATCCTATGTGTCAAACCTGCACGTTACGAACTGTCACGCTGGCCCACGAGCTCTCGTATCCGTGGTAAGCCACCGTACAAGTCGTACGTGGCCTTGTTCGTCTGTTATGCGTCCAAAGCGGTCCACTTAGAATTAGTGTCTGACCTAACCACTGATGCGTTCTTGTTGGCATTTCAAAGATTCGTGAGTCGTCGCGGGATTCCGGAGAAGGTGTGGTGCGACAACGCCACCAATTTCGTCGGCGCAGATCGCCACATGAGAGAGTTCCGAGCCCGTCTGGAGGAGCAGGGGGCGGTATTGAAACATTCGCATTAAAAAAAAGGATGCGAGTTTGCGTTCATACCGCCCAGAGCACCACACTTCGGCGGACTATGGGAGGCAGGTGTGAAGTCTGCAAAGCACCTGTTCCTTCGGACGGTAGGCCAAGACCTCTTGACCGCGGAGGAGCTCGCAACTCCAGGCCCCTCGGCGCTCTAAGCAACGACCCGAACGACGGCGAAGCCCTGACCCCCGGGCATCTGCTCATCGGCGGCCCTCTTCTGGCCCCACCATCAGCGGCGCTCCCGGACCAGATCAGCCTGACCTGCTTGCGACGATGGCGAGGTGTCTCGTCTCTCAGGCACAGGTTTTGGCAGCGATGGTCCCGGGAGTACATCTCCAGCCTCCAGGAGCGGTCCAAGTGGCACCAGGGGGAGCCCAACCTCGTCGTGGGAGCGCTCGTCGTCGTCGCAGAAGACAACCTACCGCCCCAGCAGCAAAGGATCGGACGAGTGGTAGCGGTGCACGCCGGCGCCGATAGCAAGGTTCGCGTGGCGGACGTCAGGTCGCAGGACGGGGAATATCGGCGAGCTGTCCACCGACTGACCCTGTTGCCCGTTCTGGGCTGAAGGACGTAGTCCCTTCAGAGGGGCCGGTGTTTGCGCACTTGGCGCTTGTATTTAAATCACTCGTTGTAGGGCGAGAGCGGGAGCCAATAAAGCTTTCATCCGTTCGCTCTTGCGAATTCGCCCCGTCTCTCGCCACCGTAGCATAAGTTAGGTTCTAAGAGAAATTATTGAAATATAATAGTCAGTGATCAATCGAACGTCATCGTAGCCACTCCTTTTCGTCGCGCATTCGAAATAGTTTTCACAAATTCGCAATTTAACATCGTCGAACTACTGCAGTCACAAGTTTTCGCGTCGTTAATACAAAACAGTATTAAATTTTCAGAATCCTTTGCTGCGCCTCTGGAATTGTTTCAGCTCAACACTGTCACGTAAGGCATGTCCTGCGCACCATTTCTAACAATCAGGAGCGTGAAATATATTGCGGATCACTTCTGAAAGCAGTTTCCCATCGGAGCAGCCGTACTTAAGGAAGAGATGTATATCGATGACCTCCTTACTGGAGCAGATAGTGTCGAAGAGCTTTATCTCAAGGCTGCAGAGGTCACGAGCATACTTTCTAAGGCTGTATTAGAGCTTGCAAAATGGAACACAAGCAAAATAGAAGGCAATAGAGCAGAGTTTCAATTCAAAGTTGATACCAAAGATGTAACGAAAACATTGGGCATGTCGTGGCAGCCCGAACTAGATGTTTTAGGTATACACTACCTACAATCACTGTCATCACCAAGCCGAGCATCATTTCACTTGTGGCTCACCTGTACGATTTGCTAGGGCTCGGATCACCAGTCGTTATTAGATGCAAAATATTGGTCCAAGAGTTGTGGATGCACCGTTTAAACTGGGACGATCCACTTCCCTCTGAGCTCCAACACCATTAGAAGCGAATAGAAGAAGATTTGCACAATCTTCAAACCATCGAAATTCCAAGATTTATTAATTCGTCACCAAGAAATCTATCCGAAAAACACGGATTTTCAGATGCATCGCAGCGAGCTTATGGCTGTTGCCTTTATCTACGAACAAACTTAAATGAAGTGTTTAAATCAATACTAATTATCGCAAAGTCTAAAGTGGCCCCAATAAAGGCAATTTCATTGCCGCGGCTAGAATTGTGCGCCGCGTATTTATTGTGTCAAATATGGGCCAAGGTTAAGGAAAAAATCGAAAATTACATTAATAGCGTTTTCTTTTGGACAGATTCAAGAATTGTTCTACAGTGGCTAACCATGCACTCGTCCAGGCTAAACAGTTTCGTCGCCAACCGGATTTCTGAGATGCAATCAACCACTTCAAACATTATTTGGAGACACGTTCCGGGCAAGGACAATCCCGCGGATATAGTGCCAAGAGGATGTGCCGCATCTTAGCTTATGGAAACTATATGGTTTAGTGGACCAAGCTTCTTACGTCAACCCTCATCTGGATGGCCTCAACCAGTGCTAAATTCTCAGGACACCGAACAAGACTTGGAGCTGCGAAAATCAATAGTCCCCACACGTACCGATAGTGGCAGCAAAGAAGATGTGTTCGATTACATTATCAACAAGTTCTCATCCTATCGGCGCATTCTGCGAGTCATAGCTTTTGTGATGCGCGTCTTCAATCGAATCAAGGCCAACAGGAAATTGAACGTAGTCGATTCATACATCAGCAACTGAATTGCAATACGCGTTCAAGCACATCGTATCACATATCAAGCCGAAGACTTTTTTCAACGAAATTCAGCAGCTCAAGGAAAACAAGATTTTAAAACCCGAATTTCAAAAACTAAATCCATTGCTAGCAGCGACTGACGGATCAAACCGTTTTAAAACACTATTAAGTGTAGGAGGCCGCTTAGCCAAGGCGCCCATTTCACTCGATGCCAAATTTCCTGTTCTTCCTCCAAAGGATCATTGCTTAACATTGAAATTTTTTGAGTATCTGCACATGCACGCTGGACCAAAGACTCTTATTGGAATTCGGCGACTCCAGGCTTGGATTGTAAACCCCAGAGAAATCGTTCGAATGATTGTACGGCGCTGCACACACTGTTACCATTATAAGCCGCGTTTAATGGAACAAATAATGGGATCACTTCTATGTGATCGCTTTCATTCACAAAGTCCCTTTTTTGTAACTGGAGTCGACCTATATGGACCATTTGCCACATCATACCGCATTCGAAGCAAAGTGCCATATAAAACATACATGGCCGTGTTTATATGCTTTTCGTCAAAAGCAATACACATAGAACTCATTTCCGATCTGTCTGCTAATAACTATATTCTTTGTTTAAAGCGCTTCGTCAGTCGCAGAGGCGTCCCACTACGCATCTATTGTGACAATGCAACTAATTTCGTCGGGGCACGATCTCAGCTCGAGGATTTTAAGCAGCAGCTGTTTGACGAAGCCAATACATGAATGTACATAACTTTAGCAGCATCGTGGGATTTGAGTTTAGGTTCATCCCTCCGCGAGCTCCCCACTTTGGCGGCTTGTGGGAGGCCGCAGTGAAGTGCATGAAGACCTTGATGATCAAATGCTTGGGCAACACTGGGCTTACTTACGAGGAGCTTCAAACGATTGCAATCGAGGCGGATGCAATTTTAAACTCAAGACCAATGGCACCGCTATCCGAAGACCCGAACGATGGAGAGGCACTTAGCCCAGCGCACCTGCTGATTGGGTCCTCTCAGATGTCTGTTTCGGAGCCTTCAATTGACAAGAGCAGACCATCCTATCTTACGCGGTGGCATCGCGTAACGTACTTGAATCAGCAGTTCTGGGAGCTATGGAGGCGTGATTATTTACACACACTTTAGGCGCGCTCCAAATGGCTCAAACCCGATGCCAACATTCAAATTGGACAAAATGTAATAATTCACGAGGATAATACACATCCCAAGGAGTGGATCCTGGGTCGCATCACCAAAACACATTTTGGAGCTGATGGACGAGTAAGAGTGGCCGAGATCAAGGTGAAAAATGGAACCATTCGTAGACCGATCTGCAAGATAGCGCCCCTGCCTGAGCAAATTGGTGCTTGAATACTCCTTGGATCATTCAACGGGCGGAGAATGTCCGATGCCATCACAACGGAACGCCAATTTACATTTATTATTATTTGTTTATATATAACTTTGTTTAAAAACAGTTGATTAATTTGAATTCCTTGACAACTTGTACTACTTATTTTGAATTCGCTCTTATACATTCAGCTTACACATGTACATCTCGCTCATTGTAATCTCAAACTTGAACATTAAATCAGTGCATATTAGAGATCGAAACAACTGGGACGTTTTACTTTGATAACTCAGCATTTGGGCAGAGTCCGCACACCATTCTTCCTCAAGCCCCAAAAAATAAATATGCTTATCGGCTATGATACGTTCTTTGAACTTTTATATATTGGCCAGATAAAACAGGGGCCTGAATTCCCCATCTTACAAAAGACAGTTCTCGGCTGAATAGTGTCAGGGAGATGTGTCTCTGAAAATAATGTAAAGGCTGAAAAAGTGAGATGTACATCTCAGCTGCCAGGAGGAAGCGTTGGAGTCAACTGCCGCCCAAGGCTAAAGTCCATACTCCTGAGCAACAACTCTGTCAACAACAATTTGAGAAAAATACTCAAAGATTGTCGTCCGGTAGATTTTCGGTTCGTTTGCCGTTTAAATCTGACCCAAATACTCTTGGTTCGTCGTACGAAGTTGCGAAACGTAGATTTTTGTCGCTGGAAAGGAAATTGTCAAAGGACCCTTCGCTGAAGAAGATGTATCTTGAATCATGGAGGAATATGTTTCAATGGGCCACATTTCATCCACCAATGACAAAGTTCCGAATACTCCGCACTATTTCAATCCGCACCAATGCGTTCTACGGCCACAAAGTACTTCAACTAAGTTGAGAGTAGTTTTCGATGCATCGAGTAGTACTTCGACGCAGGTAGCCTTGAATGACATCTTGATGGTAGGCCCAACTATTCAAGAGGAGCTGTACTCGACTCTGCTTCGGTTTAGATTGCATAAGTTTGCCCTTGCGGCCGACGTCAAAAAGATGTATCGCCAAGTGATGGTGGACGAAGCTGACCGAAATTTCCAGCTCATAGTATGGAGACGAGATCCTTCTGAGTCCCTGAAAATCTTTAAGTTTAACACTGTTACATATGGATCTTCGCCAGCACCCTTTTTGGCGATTCGGTGTTTAATGCGGCTAGGAGAGATGGCCCAAACAACTCATCCAAAATCCGCAAAGGTTATTCAGAATGATTTTTATGTTGACCATTTGTTGACTGGCGCCGAATGCGTTGAGGACCTGCAAAGTCTTCGAGACGAAGTTTCTCAGGTCTTGCAAGAGGCAGGCTTTGAATTGGCAAAGTGGTTTTCAAACTGCCCAGAGTTATCCGCATCTGGTAGCGCTGTAATGTCACTTATGGCAGACTCAGACGTAACCAAGACCCTTGGCGTGGTTTGGTTACCGGTTAAAGATTACTTTCAATTTCGGTTGGATGACTCTTTCCTGGATCTTCGCGCGACTAAACGAAATATTTTGTCGGTGACTGCTCGACTTTTCGACCCACTTGGCCTCTTGTGTCCTATGGTCACAAAGGCAAAGATGTTGTTGCAGGAACTGTGGCTTCGAAAATTAGATTGGGACGAGCCGCTACCCATGCAGTTGCTTACATCGTGGGAGACGTTTAAAGCGACTCTTCTGCAGCTGCCGAAAATTAAGGTATCGCGATTCGTCAACACAGATCCACAAGTCCCGATTCAAATACATTGTTTCGCTGACGCTTCCATGCGAGCGTATGGAGCGTGCATCTACGTTTGTACTCAAACTGCTGAAGGTTTGAAAATGTCTTTATTGTCCGCCAAATCGAAAGTAGCTCCCCACAATTTGGAGACGCTTTCCCACGAAAGTGGGAACCCAGCAGACAAAGTGTCCCGAGGATGTAACGTAGAGGAGCTTACAACGTCCATTTGGTTCGGTGGGCCTTCGTTCTCAGACTCAGATGTGGTGCGACAACGTCACCAACTTTGTCGGCGCAGATCGCCATATGAGAGAGTTCCGAGCCCGTCTGGTGGAACAGGACCTGTTCCTTCGGACGGTAGGCCAAGACCTTTTGACCGCGGAGGAGCTCGGAACTCTCCTCACCAGCGTGGAGGATGGACCCTCGGAGCTCTAAGCAGCGACCCGAACGACGGCGAAGCGCTGACCCCGTGTCATCTGCTCATCGGCGGCCCGCTTCTGGGCCCACCATCAGCGGCGCTCCCGGACCAGATCACCCTGACCTGCTTGCGACGATAGCGAGGTGTTTCGTCACTCAGGCACAGGTTTTGGCAGCGGTGGTCCCGGGAGTACCTCTCCAGCCTTCAGGAGCGGTCCAAGTGGCACCAGGGGGAGCCCAACATCGTCGTGGGAGCGCTCGTCGTCGTCGCCGAAGGCAACCTTCCGCCCCAGCAGTGGAGGATAGGCCGAATGGAAGCGGTGCACGCCGGCGCCGATAACAAGGTTCGCGTGGCGGACGTCTGGGCGCAAGAGGGGGAATATCGGAGTGCAGTCCATCGACTAGCCCTGTTGTCCGTTCTTGGCGCTTTTATTTGAAGTCGCTAGTTGTAGGGAGAGCGGGAGCCAATAATGCTTTCGTCCCGTCTCTCGCCACCTTAGCATAAGTAAGGTTATAATAGAAATTATTGGAATATTAAATTTAGTGATCATTTGAACTTCATCGTTACCACTCCCTTTTGTTGTCGCATTTTCGCACAAGTTTCACACAAATTATCGCAAATAAATTATCTCGAATCCTACAGCAGTCACAAGTTTCGCGTTTGTTAATACAGTATACAGAATTTCCCTAATGGAATTTCCAATGAATAAACCTTTTTGGATTTCGTTGGTTGGTATAATATATACCTGGTTTCTGAATTTATAGAAATTTTTCGGACGACTTCGGATCTTGCTGGTAAACTTGTAAAATTATTTTCGAGTGTATGGTTTATTGGAAAATTAATGGGGTTATAGAGGTTACCTCTACCGCGGTAATTATTCCTAAAATTGTTACCGCGATAGTTGTTTCCTCTTTGTGTGTACAATATTGAGTTGGCATTGCCCGTCATTTCAGTACTGCTTTGTATGTACTTAGTGATGGCTTCATTCATAGTTGAAAAGTTGCCTGCGCCTAAAATTATTTTTAGGCGGCCATGCTCACAATTTTTAACCATTGTGGTGATGGCTTCCTTTGTGCTAAATTTGTCAGCGTGTTCGGCTGGTAGGCCTTCGTCAATATACGAAGCTTCAAGGAGATTTCTTTATATGTCTATTTCTGTTGTAAATTTCTCAGCAGTTTTGCCTTTATGGCTTGTTTTGCGCGATTTTGGCTTTGACTACGTCGAATGTTTCGCCGACTATAGTGTTTTTCAATTTTTTTATGATTGAATTTATTGTTAATTCATTCTGTATAGTGTAGATCCTACAATTTTTGATTTAATTACTTCTACAGCCAAATCTTCGAATGTGCCTTTTAGTCAACCAACTCAAGGCTGTTATAAATATTTGAAATAATTATAATAATTTGGTATATCTTTTGTCAGGATGGCATTCGAGATATCTTTTATATATGTCCAATCTGAGTCTATATCTTCTTCTTCTGCTTCTCTTACTGTTATAACTGCAGGAATTGTTAGATCATGTAGAGCTTTTTTTTTTTTTAATTTCAAGTACTTCGCTCGAATCAGAATCTTCATTTTCCGTTAGGTCTATTTCTTGATCTGTTAACAGAGTTATTTAAAATTGTCGGTATCGATATATTTAAATTATACCTTTATTGGACAGTTATTAGATTTGTGCGTAACTTTAATCAATAATTTAGATAATTTTGACCAATATGTTTTATTTATTACTTGCCTATTTTCATGTACTATGGTTCTTGCCTTATTGAAAGAATCTACAAGAATCTTTGCATGTTTGTTAATTGTGACTTTATGTACTGTCCTGTTTTGGCTTATACATTTGTAAGAATTATCAAAGGTGTCCTTTAATTCTCGTATACGGAGCGTTAATTCCTCCCATACATACCAAAATTGTATAATTTTTTTTTCATTAGCTGTGTATAATTTTTAGCACATTTATGTGTCCTAATGTCTATTGGGTGTATGTCTATTTCTTAGAATGCTTTACAGTATCTTAAAGTAGACAGTACTATTGCTTTTTGCTGCAATGAATATATATATATATATAAGTTAACTAAGTAAGCCGGGCGACGGCAATGACCGATCGTCCGAAGGCTCGCTCCGGCCAAATTGCTGACACAGCGTCTGGCCGGAAGCTCGTGCATAGCCGGCAAGCACTGCCCATTGGAGTGGCCGCTATGAGTCTCTTTTGTGTAAGTTAACTAAGTAAGCCGGGCGACGGCAATGACCGATCGTCCGAAGGCTCGCTCCGGCCAAATTGCTGACACAGCGTCTGGCCGGAAGCTCGTGCATAGCCGGCAAGCACTGCCCATTGGAGTGGCCGCTATGAGTCTCTTTTGTGTAGCTTTAAGTTTTAGTTTAGATTTGACTTCATGCAAATAAAGAGCTGCTGCTCATACAATATAACTCCGACAACCGTCGTTAAATCTTTATCATTTGAAAACTGTCTGAGTCTCTAGGCCAGCAGTTAAAGAAGGGCAGTCACCCTTCCTCCATAATCATCGTAACTCATCCTGAGGATTATTCGGCCAGCCGGCCTACAAAGATAGCAGCAAGTCTTACTCCCCGCCCTCCGTGGATCATCTGCAACTGCGAGGGACCACCTAAGGGAACTTCAATTGCCGACGGCAATTCACCGTTGGAAAGCCATCTATATTGATTGTACTCCGTGGATCATCTGCAACTGCGAGGGACCACCTGAAGGAGCATCTATTGACGACGACAGCACACCGTTGCGATACGAAAAGATTAATTGGCGCCCACCGTAAATTACCCATTGTCATAAAATTGGGGAACCATGTAAGTGAGCACCTCCATACATATATTTTCCCAATCTGCATTTGTAAAACATTCAAACA